GAATAGATGTTTCCCAAACAGTTGACCCGGGTTCGACTCCCGGCCGACGCAATTGCTTAACTTTTATTTCAATCCAATGGTCTGCAAGATAGGTAGCGAAAATTTTAATTGCTCCTTCTCGCGTAAAATAATAAAACAAAATAAGAGAAATATGAGATTTTAACAATCAATTCTGAAATAATTTCGTGTTGCGGTACTTCAACTGTTAGAATCGCTGTTTAACAAACAGATGATCCGAGTTCGTCTCCCGGCCGACGCAATTGCTGGACTTTTATATCAACCCAATGGTCTGCAAGATAGAAAGCGAAAATTTTAATTGCTATTTCTCGCGATAAAATATTAAAGAAAAGAAACGAAATATGAGATTTTTAGTATCAATTCTGAAATAATTTCGTGTTGCGGTAGTTCAATGGTCAGAATAGCTGTTTCCCAAAGAGTTGATCCGGGTTCGAGTCACTGCCGACGCAATTGCCTAACTTTTATTTCAATCGAAAGGTCTGCAAGATAGGAAGCGAAAATTTTAATTGCTCCTTCTCGCGATAACATATAAAACAAAAGAAGACAAATATGAGATTTTTACTTTCAATTCTGAAGTCCTTCTGCGCGTCGGTAGTTCAAAGGTCAGAATAGCTGTTTCCGAAATAGCTGACAAAGGTTCGACTCCCGGCCGATGCAATTGCATAACTTTTATTTCAATGCAATGGTCTGCAAGATAGGAAGCGAAAATTTTAATTGTTCCTTTTTGCGTAAAATAATAAAACAAAATAAGAGAAATATGAGATTTTTACAATCAATTCTGAAATAATTTCGTGTTGCGGTACTTCAACTGTTAGAATCGTTGTTTCCCAAACAATTGACCCGTGTTCGACTCCCGGCCGACGCAATTGCTTAGCTTTTATTTCAACCCAATGGTATGGAAGATAGGAAGAGAAAATTTTAATTGCTCCTTCTCACGTAAAATTATAAAACAGAAGAAGAGAAATATGATATTTTTAGTATCAATTCTGAAATAATTTCGTGTTGCGGTAGTTCAATGGTCAGAATAGCTGTTTCCCAAAGAGTTGATCCGGGTTCGACTCCCGGCCGACGCAATTGCAGGACTTTTATATCAACACAATGGTCTGCAAGATAGGAAGCGAAAATTTTAATTGCTCCTTCTCGCGATTAAATATTAAAGAAAAGAAGCGAAATATGAGATTTTTACTATAAATTC